CGCCTGCCTCCTTAGGGAGGGGCATGGAGGGAGCAGCCTCTGGATCCGGTCCAGCCCTCGGCCTCTCTGCTCAGCCTGTTCTAACTGGACCGAGAATCAGCAACTCATAACATGCAGGATCCTAACTACCCAGAGTCCTCCAGGGTGGGCAGCGCCTACCTTCCCCTGGGGCCTCACCTGGATTTGTCTTTGATGTAGGGGGTACGTCTGTGAGATCCAAGCAGGCAGCAGCCGCGGGGGGCAGAGCTGGATCGATGGCTGCATCAGGAGGGGTGACCATGTGGGGCCCGGTCCAGAGCTCGGGCGAAGGAAAACCAGCAGAATCCAGAGGTGGTGGAGTGGGGGTAGATCCAGCTGGGAAGAGAAGAGGGGGGGAAGGTGGTAAAAAAAGAAAGAAAGAAACAGAAGGAAGGAAGGAAATAAAAGAGAAGAGAAACAACAACAACAAAAGAGAAAACTCGAGGGTAAAAAGAGTCATTTTGGCAACATAACAACAGGGAAAAAAATCATTTTTGTAAAAAATGAGAACGAGTCACTTTTACCCAAGAGAAAAAGACCAAAGCCAGTCGTTTCTGTCCAAATCTTCCACGGAAAATTTCAAGTTTTCATTAAAAAACAAAATGTTTCCATTCAGAAAAGTCGCCGGGGTGCGTTATGCCCGCCCGATTCTACCCTACAGCAGAGCCTCCCTGATCGGACTGCATCTCCCACAGTGCACCAGGGTCCCCGCTCTTGGGGATAGGAGGCTGCGCTGTGGGAGATGCGACGTCGCTGGGGAGCGTGACGCAGACGTGCCCAGACAGGTATATTACACCTGCGTCTGGCCACCCTCCTGAGACGTCACCGAAGGGGGCTGAAAGCTAAGGGCTGGCCGATCCTTGTGGCTAGCGTGAGGTGTTTGTACAGGAAGGAGTTTAAGTGATACCTAAAACGTAGGATAACATGTTCCGAAACTGCTGGAGATGAAGCATGTCCCCCAGAGGCAGGGCGGGTCTCGGCTAACTCAGTTGAGAATGAGAACAATCAAGTATCTTTCCACCCAGCCCTGCTGCGTTTACAGGCTGGAGCAGGTACACGCCTAAGCGTTTACAAAGAAAAGAACCCCCAAGAAAAGACTCTGAATAGGGGACCCTCTGGGCTGAGCTGAAGATAATGAAATGAAAAGATAATGAATGGGACTGTAGGGCTAGAAAACTGTCCGCTTAACTGCATAGCTCAGGGGTGTGAGGACACCTCCCTGAAGCATTGTAGAGTTTCAAACGTAGACACACCCCATCCTACAAGAGAAGAAGAAATGGGCACAAGATGGTATCGTTACAGAGGAGATATTTTGCCAGCATGAGTGCCTCATGAAATCCCAGCTCTCCGAGCCGGACAAGCGTTGTATGGACCGACCTTTGGGTGAGAAATACCTCAGGAGACAGGGAAGGAACTTGTTAATAAACTAGAAGCTGAAGATGGCGTGTTCTGTTTTACTTTCCCCTGCAACCTTATGTTGGCAAACCCTTCTTTGAATTGGTCTCAAGCGCCGTTAAATAAACTTCAATTTGGTTTGACTCTAGATGCCTCTAAGGCCATGTCTACATGACAAAATTCTGTCGGCACACAGCCGCCGCCGTTATGTGTCGGCAGTGCGCGTCCCCGTCAGGAAAGCTTGAGTCCATTGTACTGTCGGCGTGGGGCACAGTGGGACAGCTCCTGAAAGCCGGTAACATGACATGAGCAACCCGGCGTCTACACTGACACCGTGTCGACCTAACTACATCACAGACAAGAGTCCCTCATCCTGCCACCAGGTGGTAGCAATTCACCCAGGACACCTCAGTTAAGCCCGAAAAGTGTCCTGGGTCAGCCCAAGACAATACACTCTAATGAGCCTCAGAGGAAGGTGCAGGATACCCATTGGTCCTCGTCCTTAATCAAGACCAGTTCAGCCCTGACGCATGGAGCCCCATCCCTCTCGCCTCATCTTTTAGAAGCTTAACGAGACACTTGTCCCCTCTCTCCAGCCCTGCAGCCTGATCCCACGCAGCCTGGTCAGATAGTCCAGGGTGCCCAGATATCCCTGTTGCTGGCTGAATGCCTCCAGGTTCACCCCGTGCCTCAGCCACATGGCCTTCTGCAGGCTGAAGACCCGCAGGCCATTGGGGTAGGAGCCCAGGGTGCTGCAGAGTAGCAGCAGGGGGTCTGTGACGTCTGGCAAGACAGAGACGCCATGAGAGATACTGGGCAGCAGGATACAGACAGGCCATTGGCCAGGTTTTCCCAGCATGCACTGGGGCAGAGACGGCTGGGCGGTAGGACATAGACAGGCCGTTGGCCTGGTTTTCCTGGGGTGCACTGGGGCAGCGCCTGCCTCCTTAGGGAGGGGCATGGAGGGAGCAGCCTCTGGATCCAGTCCAGCCCTCGGCCTCTCTGCTCAGCCTGTTCTAACCGGACCGAGAATCAGCAACTCATAACATGCAGGATCCTAACTACCCAGAGTCTTCCAGGGTGGGCAGTGCCTACCTTCCCCTGGGGCCTCACCTGGATTTGTCATTGATGTTGGGGGTACATCTGTGGGATCCAGGCAGGCAGCAGCCACGGGGAGCAGAGAGGGATCAGAAGCTGCGTCAGGACGGGCGTCCATGTGGGGCCCGGTCCAGAGCTCGGGCGAAGGAAAACCAGCGGGATCCAGAGGTGGTGGAGTGGGGGTAGATCCAGCTGGGAAGAGAAGAGGGGGGAAGGTGGTAAAAAAAAAAAAAAGAAAAGAAACAGAAGGAAGGAAGGAGATAAAAGAGAAGAGAAACCACAAGAAAAAATAGAAAACTCAAAGGTAAAAGAAAGAGTCATTTTGGCAACAAAACAACAGGGAAAAAAGTCATTTTTGTAAAAAATGAGAACGAGTCACTTTTATCCAAGACGAAAAAAACAAAAACAGTCGTTTCTGTCCAAATCTTCCATGGCAGTGATGGCTGGGTGGTAGAGTTTGGACAGGCCATTGGCCACAT